GACCTAAAACATGAGATTTACACTTTGAAACTGTGAATTATGCAGAAAATGTGATATGCACTGTGGTTCAACCATCTCTTTGCCATGTGCTGCAACACATTGGACAAAATATGACAGCAAATTTCTATTGTCAAAATACAACATTGGGATGAAATTCCAATGCATCCCAAAACTCAATCTGACGTCTGATTGAGGTGGTTTTAGTGTCTACATGGAGATTTCTACTAGCTTTAGCTAATGGCACAATTTTACATTCAAATTCATTTTTCACAAAGAGTTAGACACCTAAACCCATTTTCACCACTTTTTACAAAAACTTACAACAATGGTGTCTAAACTCACACACAAGTGCCAAAAACCTACACTGACCACTCGACCACACTCAATGGACTCTAAAGGACTCGTGCAACACACCACGCTCAACCAAAAACATATAAATAACAAATTTACCACTTAACCTTATATTTCATAAAACATAAGATAGATGAAATCTTTGCACAAATCATTCATTTTCATTTCAAAATCATTAGATACATATTTTCTTACTTGTACAGGTATTTTGACCTTATACAAGAGTTTTTAACTAAAACTTACTAACTTAGGGTATAAAATATACAAGTTGTACATTATAATAATGCAATAGCATCAAGATAATCATGTAAATCCTAGTTGACAAATTAACATATATAATACACACAAAACAAACACATTGAGGCATACAAAAATAATTACTCTGTAATCCTATGCCTCGGCACATTTTTCTCGGTTCGGATCTAATGAGTTAGGTCTTGAAAATATTAAGAATTGAAAGGTGAGTACAAATATTCAGTAACCAAGTTTCACCCAATTAATACATTTGCATATCAATTAGATGCAATTGACAATAAATACACACATAAAACATGTATGACAACATATAGCTTTGACCACAATAATAACAATATCAATAATGCACAGCTTGGGGTCGCAATAATTCCAACCATGTGCTTTTAAATTACACCGGACTACAATACTAACAACTATATGGTCGGGACTAAATGCATGATTATATGCTAACCTTATACCCTCTTATTACCTCCGACATAAAACTGGCAGCTATTCAGTGGCCACGTCCTTCACGAACTAACCAAACTTTCCACTTGTGAGGAGCTACTAGACTATAGTTAACTCACTCACTTGTGTAATTCAGCTTTTTTCAATACTAACAATCATGGGGTATCATACCTCTAATCTAGCCTCTTCATGAACCGTGGAGACTAGTTAGGTGATTCCCTTGTAGAATAAGTGAGACAATCTCAAATCAACCATGGGACAAAGAACTACCTCTCAATTCCAACGGTTGGTGTTAAGGCAAGCTTTGGATTCTAACTATCATTTCCAATACCACGTGGGTTTAATTAACTACACCTCTCCCTAAGCGAACTTCTGTCAATGATCATTCTATGCACGTATATCACATATGTATATGCATTCTAATCAACCATTCATATCATGAATCCACATATTCATACTCACACCTAACTCAGTCCACACGCCAACTAGTACATAATCATAATTTCTCATTCATTGTCACTATTAGCATGTATATGAGAGTACATATAATTTTACAATGATAATACATCACCAACTATGCCAAATTTCCATAATGAGTTTTTTAAAAAATATCAAACATGTTTCAAATCAATCATTTTAACAAATAATCAATTAATATTCAACTGTATAAACTAGATTTCCCTTGGTTATCTTAAACTTTTGAGAAGTCAAAGGTTTACCCCTTACAATAATCATGTCCAAAGCTTTTCCCAAGCTTGAATGGTGCCATAATCAATAGTCTACAATCATAATACAAGGATATCATCATTATCTCACTCACGGGAATTTATCTACTTAAACTCCACATATTCCTTTTTCATTAACCCCATAAATTTACTACCCATTCATACCCAATGGGTTCGCTAGATTCCATTGACCCTAATTTTCATTCATGAGACATTTAACTATTATTAATAAGTATCAAAACTCTCCCAACAACCTCATAAATGTCAATTTTCACATATTAATGACTCTTCCCAACTAACCATACACAAAATCATTAATGTAGTGTTTAAACCTCCTAAATAACTCTCATTATATTCATTTTAACTAATAGGTTCGGGCTTATAACTTTTATGAATTGAAAATCCATCTCCCAACTCAAATCTTCATAAAAATGGAAGTAGAAGGAAGGAAGGGAGCTCATTATACTTGCTTGAGATGTTGGGAAGCCTTTAACCATCCTCAAGGGTCCTAATGTGTGTGCCTTAGTAGAAAAATTCCATGTTCTTCATTTTCTCCTTTCCTTCTCTTCTAATTTCTCACATAGACATGAACAGATTGTATTAGATTTTTGGCCATGCGTTGCAGCGCACGTAGCCTCTCACTGTGGTACGTGGTAAGAAAGCTCTAATCATGTTAATTTTGCCTCTATGTGCTACAACAGATTGGCCACATGCTGTGGCATCTAGTACAGAGGGCTTTTCTTCAAATTTTCTACTTCTTTTCTTGCCCAGACGGTCTGACTTCATTTTGGACCTGCATCTTGGGCTAAAATCAAAGCGAAATATACCAATTAGACTCTTTTGACCACGCACCTTATCAATTCCCCAATCATACTCATTAAGCTAATTAATTGTGCTTAATTTTATTGGATGTTACTACGTGGCTAATCATCATTTTTAAATAAATAATTTTTTTTAAAAGCATTGACGTCCAGATAACTTTTTTCATCATTTTCAAAGAAGTTATTTTTTTTTAAAAAAGCATTGATATCCACGTTCTTTTTATGTAAAAAGTGACATGGATAATCATCTAAATCCATGGCCCTTTTATTGTAAAGGCGACGTGGCTAATAACCATTTTTAAATAAATAATTTTCTTAAAAAAGCATTAATATACATGTCGCTTATATCCAAGAAGCAACATGGCTACTAATTTAAACTTCCTCTTTAATAGACGCTCACCTCTCCCATGAAACTCAAAACCTTCAGCTCGTGAAGCCTAAAACCTTTAGCTTTTTCTCCTCCATTGGCGGCGATTTGTTCCTGAAACCCCAGCTTCCCCTTCAGCTCGTTTCCTTCTCTCCTAATGCTCTTAGGTCCTGATCACTGGTAGCTCATGGTTAGCTCATCTCATGAAACCCATAGCTCAGTCCTCAAGCTCGGCTCGTCTTCATGGTGACCCATAGTTCGCGACCACCCATAGCTCAGATTCTCCTATTCATTTTAAGCCCAAAGCTCCCCTCTGCTAGAGCCCCTTCTCCGTGGTAGTCTGTCTTAAAATTTGCCTCCTCTATCCAGATATGTGTATTTTTTAATTAATTTTTTCTTATTCCATTAATTTTTTATGCCCAGGAGATTTTTTCAATGTTTGCTTCCCTCGATAATTTTTATTATATTGATTTTAAATTTATTGGATGAAATTTTTACTGGTAGCTCCTGTGTTTAGATTTTTTTAATTGCCAGTTTGTCCCAATAATTTTTATTATATTGATAAGAAAGACACTTGAGAATTCTTGTTGATAAGGGAGTTGGACATATGCTGGCCAATGTTATTAATTTTATAAATTTATTATTTATATTTTATCTCATTTTCATTCATTTTAATTTATATGCATTAATTTTTATCTTGTTCTACTTATTGGTTTCTTAGAAATCTCTGCACTTGACCTAAGGAAGATTAATTTGTTTTTTATGTCTAGCTTCTATAATATCAGCTCATAATGATATCCATGACAAGACGAGATATGTGGCCAATACTATTTCAAAAAGAAAATTGCCATGTTATCTGTCCTCAAAATTTGAAGGGTAAATTGTTTATATTCATATATTTACATTCAGTTTGATAATATTTTTTATATTTTTATATACTAATTATAATTTTTATTTGTTGTAGTTATCACTAATCCCTTTGTATTGTCTGCCTATATTTACATGAGATCTATCGGTTTTATTCCATAGGCAGGCAACCGACTGCAGAAAGTAAATATATATTTAACATATAAGTTAAATTTATTTTTTATAAACATTAATTTTTTTCAAATATTTAGATTGTCTTAATATCTTGTTTTTATAATATCTTAATATCTTATTTTTTTTATAGATTGTTAAAGATATATCAAATAATGTGACGTGGATAAAACAACATTCTAAGTTACTCAGATCTATATTCCCTCGATAAAGATGTGAAATGCCCTAAAAAAATGATGTGAAAAACTTGTTTTGTAGTAATAAATGGACTGAAGGGAGTAGTGAATTATTTTTAAAAATATACACTCTTTTCATATTTATTTTTATTTAATAAGGTGTTTTAATTAAAATTTTTTATTAATAAGTACACTCTTAATTAAAACTAGTTTTAGAAAAATCTCAATAATTACATCTTGAAAACTCAAAATGCGTCATGTTTGATTTATTCCTTATATAATATCAAAAGCGAACCCACATTATTTGCTCTTAATGAAATTCGTAAATCAAACAAGATATACGCTCCAGCTCCTAGAAATTAAGCCCTGCTGATCTCGTACACAATCAATGCTTTTTTTTTTTTTTTGCCAACAATAATCAAACATATGTAATTGATCTGCAAGATCATTATTTATTGCAACCACAGTCACTGTTATAAAAATGAAATTTAATAACATGTATTTTATAATAATGAAAAACAAAACGTTAGTAAAATAAACTTTAAAACATCTTATGTGAGATTTCATTTTTCAAATGCCACCACTTTATAATTATTTTCTAATTTAGAAATTTTAAAAACAATAAGGGGTGGCATCCAAAAGAAGAATACCCCTGCATTAAAAGAGAGACAGGGTAAAAATGAGAAACATAGTGCCTTGCTTATAACATGCTTAATCATTAATCCGCTTTAAACAATTTTAGTTACTAAATACTTTAAAATTTTTACCACCTCATCATTTCTAGTACATAGAATAGATGTTCCAGCAAGTTTATAGGGATCTAAAACTTCAAGCCCTGCTTCTCCAGCTTCTTTTGGGTGATGCTATCGAGTTGTTCAGCCAGGTCCAACGAGAGAAAATTCTTCCAGTCTTCCACTTTCCCACGTCTAAAATAACGCTCATTCTCTATCCCAGATGATGAATTTCCATTTTTATTCACCTCCAGATTGCTCAAATTCTCAAAACTACAAAGCTTCAACATATCACTCACAACATTCTCATTTTCTTCCTCCTTGGAAAATCCATATCCTATAAAGTCAGCTAGCTTTTTCAGTGTCTTAACTGGCTCATTCTTCAGCTCTTCAAATCTCAAGAATATCACCGTCTCTGGCGTCTTTAAACTCTCTTTGTAGTAACCCAACATGTGTTCCCAAAATGGCCCATAAATACTCATTCCCCGACGAAAATCTTCAAAGGATTCCTCAATTGAATTGAAACCTTGTTTTTCTTTTTTGAATCCATTGATGAAGTGCCAAAGAGAGACAAACATGTCTTTTGGATCTCTGCACAAGTACACTATTTTACACCCCGAGTGCTTCTTCGTCGAGTCCGGCATTGAAATGATCGGAAGATGGGTTGCAAAGACTCTCGGTGAAGGAAACAAGCTCAGATCCGGATTGTTTGTTCGAAGGTATAGGTGGAATTCCAAGAAAGGTATGAGAACATGAGGGTTTGTAGTGAGGAGAGGATGAGTATGGCCAGTTTGAGTCATGTTTGGATGATAGGTCTTACGATTGATGATGGCGAAAATTAGGGCTTTGAGCCAAGTGGTGCCAGATCTTGGTGAGGTAACAAGGAAGATATCAGAATCATGAGCTTGAAAGTGGTTTTGACAATTGAGAATTCCTTGCATTAGTCTCTTGGGGAACCAAAAACCTTGGTATTGGCAAAGCTCAGCTGCAAAACTGTCTGATTCAGTGGGTAAGGTGGCGATGAGATCTTGGGTTTTTTGAGATAGGTATTGATCATCATCTTGTTGGTGGAAATTGGGAAAAAGAGTAACATCAGAGGTTTTTAGGGGAGTTTTCTGCTGCCATGATTGTATTTTGTATTGAGAGAACAATTGAATTTTTGATCATGTGAATGTAGTGAGATTGTTGATGCGTTTATATAATGTTTGAAACCAAAGGAAAAATTACACAAAGGCGTGTTTTCATTTTCAGTTTGCATTAGCCCATGATTTGGTTTGTTCAACACGCTAATTGTTGGAACTTGTGCAACCGCAAAACAAGCATCCCCCAAATGAGGGGCACTTTTCACTATTTTGGCACAGGCTAATCACTCAATTATATTTTGACATATCACTATTAAATTTTTAGATAAAGATTTAATGAGCTAAGATTTTTCTTGATTTTTAATGATATATGTTGAAAATAAGTTATAGAAAGAATAAGAGAAAGTACCATATTTTGTAAATGTTATTTATGACCCTTTTAAGATTCAAAGAACCTAATCATGACATTCATTCATTTTATATTTGATCTCTCCACTATCATTCATGAATCCAAATTATTAAATGCATAAACATTTACCATCAAATGTTTTAATGATCTTTTAATTTTGGAAAATGTAAATACTTTATTTATTAATAATGTAAGACATCTTTAATTAAATTTCACCTTTCAATAAATTAGTTAATTTTCTTCATCCTAATATCATCTTTTCATATTTAACCTTATTTAACATGGTACTTCATTTAAAAATAAATATAAAAATTCATTATATATTAAGTGAATTATTTTTGAAAAGATTGTTAATTGACACTTTGAAATATTAAAAATATCTTATATTTTTAAACATCCAACATCTCAAAATACGGCTTATATTTTTGAATGGACTTGGGAGTACTTCATAATTATATAGACGTAATGCATGTAATCCTTAAGTTAGTATTAAATGTATGATTGAAGGCTCACAAATAAGGTTCTAACTCAAAACATTGTACACATGTCTAAATCAAAGTGAGTAGAAGGCAGTGACAGACCTAGGAAAATGATTGAGTGAGGCATAATTTATAATAAATATTGATATTTTTATAAAACTATTTTAAAAATATTTATAACAGTATAGTAAGGATGTCATCAAAATCTTATGGGGCAAGTGAATTTTTGTAAAGGGCAAGTGAATTTTTGTAAAATGATGGGGCCAAACGAAATTTTTTAAGGGGCATACATAATATTTTGGGGTCTTTTTGTATAATATTTCCTAATTTCCCCCACTAATTTCAACGTGGATCCACCCCTGGTAGAAGGATTCTCCTTCATTTATCCTCATTAACGTTATCTCTCATCTTGCTATGAAGTTTATGTTTTCGTTAGTTTTATCACAATAATTAAATTTATCGTTCATCAATACCAAATAATATAATTAACCACTCCCAAAGGTCATTAATTTTAAATGAGGGCCATAAAATATTGAAATTTTAATAAAGGGCTGTGGTGTTTGCTTGAAATTTGAAAAAAATATAAATTGCCTTAAATGGCCTTCGAGAAAAAAATTAAAATACCCCCACATATTTTCAAGTAGAGTTTTATATTTTCTCAATTGATATTAATAATATTCTCATGTCACGATAGTAATTTTAGCGATGAAGACACTTTATTTTTCAAGTGATTAATTATATATTAACAAGTATTAAATTGACAAGTCAATGGGTTGATATTCTTGAGTAAAATTAGTAAGTTCACAAGTCAGTTTTGTATATTCATAAGTGACATTGAAATATTTAAAAAGTCATTTTTTAAAATTATGAGAAACAATCTATTCGACATTAAAATACCTATGCCACGATAGTTATTTTAACAATAAAGAAATTTTATTTTTCAAGTGGCCTAACTATAACAAACATGAAATTTGACAACAGTAGGTTGATATTCTTGAGTGAATTAGTATATTCATAAGTCATTTTTGTATATTTATAAATGACCTTGGAATATTTCATGTGTGAGTTTCTGAAATTGTGAAAAACAATCTATTTTCAAGTAGAGTGTTATGTTTTCGTGACTGATATTAACAATGTTTTCATGCCACAATAGTGATTTTAGCAGCGAAGACACTTTATTTTCAAAGTGGTCTAATTTTTATTGTTTAGTGGAAGGTAATTTTGTAAAGTTATATATGCTTTTTATTTCAAGAAAGGACCACGGTCCTTTAATATTTTATAGTTTTTAATTGAAATTAATGATCTTAGGGGTCCTTCATTGTCGTTTTCCCTATTTGTTATTTTCTTTTGATTAACTTTACTATCTTACATACCTTCATCTTTTTTTTTTCTTTTGCCAAATATATATACCCTGATCTACATATTGTTGAGATGCATTGAATAAATAAAATAATAAGACCTTTAGCTATGGTATAAGGGGAAAAAAAGGAGATGGTCATCTTTTGAGAAACTAATTTGGATGATTTCAAAGTTAAACTTTAATTATCATCTTTTTAAAGATATTTTTGGAGAAAATTGTGAATAGATTCCAAATAAAGGCTTCTTCTTCTTCTTTTTTTTTAAATAAATTTCATAAACTTGCTAAAATGTGGTGAAGTCTTGAGGTGAGTGTGTTTTTACATGTGCAAAAAGAGCAAATTGACCCTTAACCGTTCTAAGAAGTTGACTTTTAATCTAGATTAACTTGTAAACTCATATATAATATTAAAATCATGCAAATTCTAAAATTAAATGTTGAGTCGTAAATCTTGGAAGTAAATTAATAAAACCTTATGTAAAATTTGATTAAGGGATAATTTAATCTTTTCACCTATGTGAAAAATAACACTCAAGAGCCTTCACCCAACAGAAAGAACTGATGGACACACACCACCTACAAATAAAGGTCCAACTAGCAACCTCATGCTTAACAGACAACTGAGGGAATTGTGACACAATAACACTTGCCATTATTTTCATATTTTGATGTTAACAATATTTCATTTTGAGGTATATCTTTTAGAAATAAAATATAATTAATTAACTTGGTCATATGAGTTTAGAGAGTAATAATAATTTATTGTTAAACATCCCACATAGAAAAAGTCTAAGATTTTGGCCAAGCTTCATCTATATTTTTCTTTGTTTTGGTGTTTCAAGTGTGATTTTCTGTTGTTTCCCCCCATTTCTCCCCCTCGGCCAGGTTTATGTGAGAACGCATCCTCCAAAGAGATCAAACACGAGTGGATCATGTAGCTCTAGACCATATGCCTCAATCTAACACAAATGCTACTGTATCGTTCACTTCTTAGCCCTCCAATTCTAAACCAAAGCAGAAGAAGAAGAAGAGTAAACCACCAACCACAAACCGGCCACAAGAAGATCCTCTTCCTTTTGTTTATTATCTGTAATCCACAGCAACACTTTGTCAAAAATGTTGGGAATAGATCCACCAATATTACCCAATACCCAAAACATCTTTTCTGCATCTCAAGTTTCTTACTCAGCGATGGAACTGCTTTATGGAGAATCAAGAATAATATATGCTCCCCAACATCATCAAGTAGTTTTATGCCAATGCTTTGTGGGCTACTTACTAAAAAAAAGGGGTAATCAGTGATGGAATACTTCCATCAATAAAATTACCGTCACTAATTCATTAGTGAAGGAATTTGCAATTCCATATTTTGTTTCTAATTAGCAATGGAATATTGACACAAATTAGGAGAGTTGAGTGATAAGATATAGCATCTGGCAACTACTTGGAAAATAGCAACGCACCCAGAATGCTCAAATACTTCAATCCATGAAATAATTAAGTGATGTGCTTTTCCCCTCACCAGCTGTTGTTCTTCCTACTGCTGCACACCTAATATATATATATATATATATACATATATTTTGAGTTACAAACGGCAAGTCGAAACTTGATAGTTTAAAGAAGCTACACAAAGGTTAAATCAAGAGCATATTGCTCAGTACATATATCTATAACGGATTCATGGAAGAGGATATCATCTAATTTTAATCTCTTACCAGATCACTGATGGTCTGTATCCTAAAGGAGAATGTGGCTTTCATCCTTTTAGCCCTCTTTATTTTGCACTGTTATTTTTATTTTGGTGGTCTATTTTAAATATTTCTATCATTTCCCTTCTTTTTAAATGTTCTAACTTGCTATATTTTGGGGTGATTGTATTGAAATAGTCAATATCTTATATGGTGTGTTGACAGCTGTAGATGACTTATGTGGACTAACTTCATCTAACTTCTTCCTTCTCCATTCGTCATTCTGTGGCAAGGTAGCTGATAAGTGGATATTTCACTTTATATATATATATATATATATATATATATATATTTCTACCATTTTATTTATTAAATAATGATTGAAAAAAGGATAAATATGGAAAAAAGGACTCATTTAGTGATTTTGGTGTATTTTCTCGAAAGGGGGAAAATAGTTGGGAAATGACTTAAAAGGCGAAGCCCAAAATCAAAGCCTAAAATCATGGACAATAGTAGTACAGAAGTTTTTCGTTCACGAACTTAAACCACCACGAAAAGCTCTGGTCCCTTTCACACGACCGTGTGCGGACACCTCAGCACAAGTCCCGACCGCGCCCGGGCAACTCAAACCTTCTCTCCTGTGCACAGATGAGATAGCCAAACGGAAAAGCGCTCTTTGCTATGCTCTTGCGTAAGGCCATAAATCAAGTGGGCCAATCGCGTGCGGACGTGAAGCCCAAAACATGTGTCAAGTTGCAATTTAATATTTAAATGGATTTTACATTAGATATAAGTGATTCAGATAAGATTCGGCGTGATCTATAAGGATTTTGAGCCTAAGAAGGACAAATTAATCATAAATAAATCATCCCAATAGGTAAATTCTGATCCCTGATGTTTCTCTTATTGATTTGTACATGTTTCTTTTATCATTTTTATTTATTTACATTATTTAATTAAATATTAATCTCTTTCAAAAATTATTATTTATTTTTATAAATAACAAAGTTAACTACTTTCTTTGAGTTCTAACTCTTGAAATACTCCAAAATTTTATAATTACATTGATCCTATGTATTTGTAGGAGTGATCAAGTTTTTGGTGTCATTGCGGAAAAGGCAAACACCTTTGTTATTTGCTTAATTTTTTTTATTTTAAATTATAAAAATTATTCTTTTATAATTATTCTTTATTTCTTGGGTTGTGTTTTCTTATATTTTTATAAGAAAATATTATTATATTTCGTTTGCATGTTTACTAGAAGATCCAAAAGCCTTAGTGATTCATTGATGACTCCTATTAATTTTCAAATTGAATGTTCTTACAGGAAAAATTGTAAGAAGAAGGAAAAATCCAAGATGGCTGTTGTTGCTAACACCCCATGTTGGAGGAATATTATGGTATCACACGTGATTGCTAGTCCTTTTGCCATTTGATTAAGTGCTAGAGCCATAAATTATGAAGGCAAGACTCACCACCTAAATAGCCTTCCCTAGTTCCATGAGAGGCCAATTGAGGATGCCTTGTCATTTATCAAATGTTTTTATGATGCCTTTGTATTGCTATTCCCTAATGAGTTGACTGAAGATGAGCTGTAGATAAGATGTTTCTCCTACTGCCTACTTGATCATGCCAGGGAATGGCTATACTAATAACTTGCATGGATTGTAGTCGTTGCTTAGATCATAATTTTATAGTTTGTTTATGGTCTCAATGAGATTAGCGAGAACTAATTGAACTTTAAATAAATACCCCTAATATACTGAGAGGTAATTGAGATACCTTAATAACAATTGTCAGATTGGTTGTTTCATCATTTTTTTAATTGTTTTACTCATTTAATTATGTATTAAATTAAATCTCTTTCAAAAATTATTTTTTGTTTTTATAAATAACAAAGTTAAATGCTTTCCTCTATATTTGACTCCTAGAGTACTTTGGAATTTTATAACTACATTGATCTTGTGCACTTACAAAAGTGATCAATAGTCTCAATGCCCTCCCCCCCTCTCTCTCTCACACACCCCCTCCCTCCCTCCCTCCATTAGGGACACTGTTATGTTTAAGTGTGAAGGAAGGTCTTTTTTTTTTTGTTTTGTTTGCATTTGTTGAGTCTTTTGTCTTTAGCATTTTTTATTGTACATTGTGTAAATAGTTTTGTTTACTTAAAATATTTAAAAATGGATAAAGAGCATAAAGAGTGTATAAATATGTAGCAGATAAAGTAGCCTTTAATACACACTATTTTAGGAATGATTAGTACAAGTTATTCCCCCAACAGGTTAATCCATTCAAAGACAAGTCTAGCAATAATTAGTTTTGTGGGTATCTATGAATCTTAAGGGCATGTTTGGTTCGTTGGAAATGAGCTCTAGAAAATGGAAAAGGAAAATGAAAAAGAATCAGTAAATTCTTTTGATTGATTGATACGAAATTTGATGCTTGGGAATAGAAATTCAAGAGAGTGGAAATTTAGTTCCCACCTCATACCCATGGAAAATCATATTTTTTGTAAGAAATTAATTTTGTTGACCAAATTACCCTCTTTGAATTTTCAAAATTCTAAATTCACTGTCAACTTTCTTCACCCTGGATGTGTCTTCTTCATTGTCTACTTTCATTTTTTCCTCCTCCGTTGACCTTCACTGATTTGTCATCTCTGTCGTCTCCGTCTGTTGTCGACCTTCGCAAATCTTCACCGTCGACCTTCGCAAATCTGTCATCTCTCTTCTCCTCGTTCATTGTTGACCTTCGCAAATCTGTCATCATTTTCAACTTTGCAGATCTTCATCGTCAACGCTCGCCATCGACATTGTGACTTTTTAGCTTCTTCCCTGGTTTTTGAAACTTCTATTTTTTTTTTTCTATATAAATCTATCCGCTGGGACCGCTGGGACTTGTGATTTGTAAATGAAACCTTCAGCTATTGTAGATTTGATTCCTCCACCTTCATTGAGCATAGAAAATTGTCCTCCATCATCCTGGTGTTCATGGGTTTAACGTTGTTTTTTCCAGACACAAAATGGAACCAATTTTTTTTATTTGGTTTCAAAGGTTCTAATGTCAAGATTATTGCACATTTGCACTTTGGGTTTCATTTGTTCAATTCTACCATTCCGATTATTGCATTCTGCCGCTCGTTTTGAAGGGGAAGAGGAAGGAGAAGGAATGGTTTGAGGGTAATGTTGTATTTTTTATTTTTTCAAAAAATAATTTAACTAATATATTAAAATATTTTCCATCATACCAAACCTAATTTAAATATATTTTCAATTCTTTTTTCTTCTTCCTTTTCCTCTTCCTCTTCCCCTTTCATTTCCATTAAAATGGTTCCATTGAAGCAAAGGGGGCCTAAGTGATCCCTACTAGAAATGGAAACCTGCCAAACTTATCTCTATATAGATAAGTCTAGGCAGATCCACAGGATGCCCACAAAACTGATTATTGCCAAAATTATCTATCAATGGATAAGTCATAAATGGATTAAAAAATGTAAGTAAACAAAATTTGCACACTATGTTTAATCTTAAAAAAAATACTATAACAAGCTCAACTAACGAAAAAAGCTGAAAAAAAAAATGTACCCCCCACTTAAACATAACAGGGCGGCCCCTGACTCAAAATGACAAAGGAGAAGGAAGAAGTCAGTCCATATAAGTCATTTGCAACTGTCAACACATGAAATCAGACAGTGACAATTTCAGTACTATCATCCCAAAATACATCAAGTATCAGGTCAAGACATCTAAAAGATGAGGAATGATAGAAATATTTAATACAGGCCACGACAATAAAGGTAACAGTGCAAAATAAAAAAAAGTCTAAAATGAAGATGGCCACATCCCGTTGAAGACACTGAGACCAATAATGATCTGGTAAGAGAATAACATAAGGTGAAA